CAACACCTCCCCCAGCGCCTCCAGCTGCTGCTCCACGCTGGGGACCTGCGGGGAAGAGCTTGCGGTGACAGGGCCGCGGGCTCATGGGCTATGGGGTGGGTGGGGGACAGCCACCGGGACCCCCGTCCCATCCTCACCGTGCTGTAGTTGGCCGTGAAGGTGACACCGTTTGGCGAGACGCCAGCGCAGGGCTGCCCGCAGCGCTGCAGGGTCTGCCCGAGTCTCTCCCGCAGGCTGCCCAGCCGCGGGCTGTAGTTGCCCTGCAGCTCCTCCAGGCGCCCCTGGGTGCTGCTGATGGTGCCAAAAGCGGCCGCCAGCGTCTCTATCTCTGGGGAGGCAGCGAGGGCTCAGCCTGCCCGTCCTCACCCTTGCCGTGCCCCCAAATTCCCAGCCCTCAGCCCACAGGGGTGTTACCTCCCAAAAGGCTCTGCAGGGATCCCAGTGCCCCGTCCACGCTGCTCCTGATGCCCGAGATGATCGTGCCGCCCAGGAGGGGCCCGATGTCTGCAGGGATGGGGGGCTCAGTGCAGGGCCCCCCGGCAGCAGCAGGACACGGTTTCACCGTGCCGGAGCCCGAGCACCGCAGCGTCCTCCCCAGCATCTCAAATCCCCCCGAACCTCCCCAAAATCCCGGCTGTGGGTGCAGGAGGCTGCCCCAGCGCCCCCGGCGCACGCACTCACTCTGCAGGCTGCTGTTGGTGCGGTCCAGCGGCACGTCGCTGCGGTCGATGACAAAATTCACCTGCTGCAGGGGGAGAGACGGGGCGTCAGCGTGGGCTGGGGGGCTCCCTGGGGACCCTTCCCCACGTCCAGCCCTACTGCGACCCTTTCCGGAGTGGGGGGGGTCCCTTTGGGCATGCCTGGGGGATGGAGGCCAGGTAGGTGCCGAGGTTGTCCACCGTGGTGTTGATGTTGGGGAAGGTGCCGCTCACGGCCTGGGAGAGCCGGGTGTTGCTGATGAAGGCGCACACATCGCCGGCCCTGCAAGGGAAAGGTGTGGGGTCAGGAGGCGGGGGGGGCACCGTCCTCGTGTCCCCCTCTCCAAATCCGGGTGCTGCTGAGCATCCCTGCACTCACAACCAGCAAAAAACCAGACCCAGAGGGACGTGCCCCAGCCCCGGCCCCTTCTGTTGCAGGGAAACTGAGGCACAGGAGCCCCATGGCGAGGCTCTCGGGAAGGGAACGTGTGGAAAAAAGAGCTCGGCCCCGCAGGACCAGCTCCCCACGGCCTCCGCTTCCTCTCTTTCTTTGTCCTGCCGTGCCGGGAGCTGCTCCTGCAAACAATGGCAGCTTCCTGGCCCGGCCGCCCCCCGGCCAACCCCGCCGCCGCCTTCCCAACCCTCACACTCACAGCAGGAGGGCAGAGAGCAGCAGCACGGAGCCGTAGAGCGCCCGGCGCCGGCACGCCATCCGCCGGCCCTGCTTCTGGTACATGCGGCCCCCGCAGAGCCCGCAGCAGCGGCAGCAGCAGAAGCAGCATCCCACCAGCGGCACCAGGACGATGAAGAGGAGCCCGATGGCCGCGCACACCAGGAAGCCCAGCTCGTAGAGCAGCAGCTGGGAGAGGAAGGGGGAGAGGCAGCACGAAGCCGGCACCCCCTGGCCTCACCAGCCCCACATCCAGCCCCCGTGGGGCGCGATGGGTCTCGCCTGCTCACCTCCTTCACGTACTCCTCGGACCCCTTCTCGCTCTGGGGCTGCGCCAAATCTGCGATCAGCTCTGGGAGACAAGGAGCAGAGAGGGCTGTGAGCTGCCTCTGGGGCTGGGGGCTCTCCGAGTGGGTCCCTGCACCCTGGAGAGGGGTTCCCAGCACCGAGCATCACCCCCAGCCCTGTGCAGATTGCACATCCCTTCCCCTTCCAGCTGTCCCCCCCAGCCATAATTTTTCACAGCCCTTTTGGCATTGCCCGTCCCCAAACTCTCCGTTTTCGGGAGGTGTCCCCAGTGGCTGTTTCGGGAAGGATGCTCTGATAAATCCCTCAGCTGCCCTGGCTGGGTGCCCGCCTGCAGCCCGGCCCCGCACAGGAGGAACAGGCTGGCATCGGGGCTGGGGACTGGGAAATCTGCACAGATGGGGACAAAGTCCCCCCGGGGTGCTGCTTCCCTTCATCCCGGGGCTCGCCCTGCCCTTGACAAAAGGCCCTATCACTGATGTCACACCGCGTGGTTTAATTGCACCCTGCCACTTCATCAAATCACGGGATCATGCAGGTCGGAAAGGAGCTCGGAGATATCCGGTCCAGTCCTTAGCTCAGTACTAAAGTCCACCGCTAAACCACGTAACCAAGTCCTGAACCTCCACCTTTCTTGAAAAGCCCCAGGGTTGGTGACCCAACCGCTTCCCTGGGCAGCCCGTTCCAGCCCCACACAACCCTTTCAGCGTAGAAATTTCCCCCGTTATCCCACCCAAACCTCCCCAGGCTGCTCCCCCCGCTGCTCCCCCGTGCACCCACCGATGGGCAGGCCGCGGGGCTGCACCAGCCGCAGGAAGCCGTGCACCATGCTGACCAGCCCAGGAGTGCTGCTCCCCGGTGCCTCCAGGCCGGGGCCGTACTGGGGCTGCGGGACGTTCCCCAGCTCCATGGTGGTGGCTCCCGAAGGGCACCTGGGCACAGAGTAGGACCGTCGGTGGTGGCAGGGCGCGGGGCTGCCCGTCCTGCCCTGCCTCCGAGCAGGAAATGCAGGGAGAAAAATCAGCCACAATGCCTGGGAGCCAACCGAGGTGGGAGAAATGGGGAGGTCAGGGGCAGCGAGGGGGAGATGCCAGGTGGGAGATGCCCGTGAGGGACCGGAGGGGCTGGGGACAAAGCACTTACCCCTTCCTCCGGCACCTTCCCGCACCCACCGCAGGGCCCAGCTATGCAGAGCCAGCGCCCGGGCTTTATGGTTTGTTTAAGTTTCAGCTGTGATTACTGAAAAGCTGTTTGCCAGCCGAGGTGGCGATGCCGGCATCGCCCCACCCTGCCCCAGCCACATCCTGGCACCCAGCCACCACCAGCTGCCTCTGCGAACCGGGGCCAGGGTCCACACCGAGCCTCCCCAGGGGGTTCCCAGTGGGCACGGGGGAGAAGAGAAGCCCCTCACCTCTCCTCTCCTCTCTTCTCTTCCACCCCCTGCTTTCCCCTGTCCCAGCCCAGAAGCTGAACTCCCCAGAGCCAGGTGGGTCATGGGGGTCCGAGGCAGCCCCCCGGCTGCCCCACCCCAGCACCCTTTGGTTTGGGGTCCACCATTTTGGGCACGACCTGGCTGCAGCACTTAAGGAGCACTTCCCAAGCAGGGCACTGGAGCAAACCCAACCTTTTTCACGTGCACCCCGACCCCTCCAAAGCTGGGAAGCACTACGCCAGGCCCCGGGGACCAGCAGGGGAGATTTTTCCACCGAGACTCCCCCAGCCCCCTGCCCAGCTCCCTCCACCCCTCCCCGGCCGGCCAGCAAGCCCACCCGCAGCGGGTGCCACCGCCCCTTGGCCCCTCTCCCACTGTCCGTCCCCTGCCCCTGGGCACGGGGGGATATCCTGGGGGGTGTCCCCGCGCCCCTCCCGCTGCCCTGAAGACCCCCGGGGCTGGGGAAGGCGGAGGGAAGCCGGGGAGGGGGGGTCCCGGTGCCGGGAGCGCAGGGGACGCACCCGGTGGGCGCAGGGCGCAGAGCCCCGGGGCTGGTCCCGGCGGTGGTAGCGGGGGCTCCCTGGCACGGCACGGCCCGGCACGGCTCTGCACGGCGGGGGGGCGGCCCGGCACGGCCCTGCCCAGCCCAGCCGGCCCGGGGCCGCCCCTTCCGTCCCGGCTCCTTGCCCGGGGCTGGGCGAAGCCCCCTGCGCCCATCCCGGCGCGCCGCAGGGAGCCCCCCGCAGCCTCCGCCCTGCCCACCCCAGCACCCCAAAAGCGCCCCCCAAAGCCCCCCGCTGCTGCCCAGCCCCACGCACAGCCGGTAGCAGCTCTCTGCCCCCTCTGTGAGCCTCTCTGCCCCCCGGGAGCCCCCCTGCCACAGCTCCCACTGCGCTGTCCCCATCACCGCCCCGTCCCCAAGGAGCCACCGCGTGCCTCTGGCTTTTGGGCAGACACCAGTGGGGACACGAGGCTGAGCTGTCCCCAAGCTGTCCCCCTCAAGTCCTCGGCTCCCTGGCGCTGCTGGCTCGCTGGCTGCCACCTCCCAGGTTACTGCTTAACTGTCCCCGGCACATGCAGGCGTCACGGCTCTCGGTGACCTTGGGCGAGGGTGGCACTGGGTGGGGGGCAGCCTTGGGGCTCACCTGGCCTCGCTGCTGCCGGGTGCCCCAGTGGGATGCTCTGGCTCGGCACGGGCACCGGAGGATGCAAATACCCCAGAGAAAAAGGGAGAATAAACCAAAAAAAAGCAACTATAAATGTAAAACTCCAATGGGGTTCTTGCAGCGCTGTGAGCTGATGCGGGAAGGGAGGTTTATGGGTTCACCCGCAGCCCTCCCTGCCCATCCCTCGGGGTTTTGGGGTGGTTGTTTCTGGGTGCTTTCCCCCGGGGCACGAAGCTCGGCATTTTCCTGCCTGCTGATGCCCCGCGCCCTCCCGGTGCGCACAGGGGACGTCCCCGAGCTCCTTCCTGGTGCAGCCCTGGGGACACCCGGTCCAGCCGGTCCCCCCCAGCTCCTCGCAATGCGGGAGGTGAGGAGCGGCCGGGCCCTCTGCCAGCTCCTGGGCACCGGGGGGGGGGAAGGCTCTGAGCGCACCCCAAATGAGCTGCACGTGGGCAGGATGCGGCCAGGTGACATCCCACATCCCTCCTGTCACCCCAATCCCTGCCCCTGTCCCCTCTGCTATGAGGAAGCAGGCACAACCCCACCTCCACGCTCCAGCACACCCTGTTTCAGGAACCCCTTTTTTTCCCCAATTTTCCTCCTGTGAATGCCCCCCCCTTGCTGCAGCGTTACCCACAGCCGCAGGCTCCCTGGCCTTGGGGGTGGGGGGGGTCACTGGGTGTGAAACGCCCCCAGTCCTGGCTGGGAAATAAGCGCTCGGGACAGCCTCAAACCGAAAAGTCGTTTTATTGGTACCATACATGACTCATAAATGGCACAAACTATGGAGGAGAAGGGGAAAAAAAAAAAAAAAAAAAGAGAAAAAAAAAAAAGAAACAAAAAGGCATTACAGTGTGTGCCGGGGGGGGGTCGAGGGGGGGCAGCGAGGGGCACGTCACCACCCCACGGGAGCCCCAGCAACGCGGCAGCGGTGACAATCGTACCTTAACTGCAAAGCACAGCCCCCCCCCCGCCGTGCCAGGCCCCCACCGTGGGGTCCCCATGCTAGGGGGGATACCAGGGCGCAGGGGCCACCCCAAGGTGTCTCCCTGGGGTTTTGGGGCCAGGAGCAGGCCAGGGCTGAGCACGGGGCTCAGGCACCATCTCCCAGCCCCACCCTGGGGACAGCAGCAGGGGGGTGTCATGGGGGTCCCCCCCCACAGTTTGGCCACCCCCCAGCGTCTCAGCCACGGGTGGGAGAGACACAGAGTGCGGGCGGCCCCCCTGCTGCACCCACAGCCCCCCGTGCTCACGGGGGGGTCCCCACGGCTCCATCCAGCCCCCAGCCCCACGGGGCAGCGGGGGACACCGGCTGGGGGGGGGGCTGGCAGAGGGAGGGGGGTGCAGACCCCCCCATTTCCCCAAACCACAGGGCTGCTCCGCGTGCCCCAGGCTCCCTAACACACGCACACGCTCTCGCACACGCACGTGCACCCAGCAGCCAGCCCTGCCTGGCCCCCCCGCAGGGCAGTACACGCTGCAACCCCCCCTCAGGGGGGTATCCCAGGGCCCCAGCTCCCCCAAAAATGCACCACTGATGCTGTCTGGGGGAGATGGTGAGCACAAACACCCCCCCCCCCTCCAGGCACCTCCTGTCTTCTCCGTGGAAGAAGCCTTGGAAGGAAATTATTTTTTTTTCCTTTTTTTTCTTTTTTTTTTTTTTAAACCAAAAAAAAAATAATAAAACCCAAAAAAATTATTATTATTCTCGTTGTTTCCCCTAACATCGATGGAGGCACCTGCTCTAGTGATAACACATTGAAAGAACAGTATCGTACACACTGTCTACAGCGCGGAAATGTACAAGCACGAGGTACACGAACCCGAGGGGGGGGGGGGCAGCGGGGACAACAGCACACAAGATTTACATTGAGGAGGGAGGCGGGGGGGGCTGCCCCCCACCCCCTGGAGGGATTTAGAAAGGAAGTCTGCAAAGTCTCTCCTTGGTTTGAAGCTCTCCGAACTGGATATAAAACGAGACTCCCAAGAGAAGAAGCCTGTACAAAAGTCAGGACAGGGTGAGAGCGCTCAGGGCAGGGGGGGGGGGGGCACCGGCGAGGGGAGAGGGGGGGGGGGGGGGGCTTTTCCCATCTTTTTTTTTTTTTTTTCTTTTTTTTAAACTTACAATTTTAATAATATTATTTTTTTTTAAAAAAAAAAAAAAAAGACAAAAGTAGGAGGTACCGGGAGCCAGGGGGGGGTGGCCGGGGTGCTCCGGGCAGGAACGCGGGGGCCGCAGGCACGGAGCGAGGGCACCGGCCACCGGCACAGACCTGCAGCCTCGGCCCCCCCCACACCCCCCAGCCGCCTCCCTGCCAGGCGATTCCTATGTACACAGCCCCCGTGGGCCCTGCTGTGGGGCGAGAGAGGGGATGGGGAGCAAAACGGGGGGGTGGGAGAGCGGGGAAACGCCAGATCCTCAACGGCACCCCCAGCGCAGCAGGATCTGACCCCCGGGTGGGGGCTTTGTCCTTCACCGGCCCCCCCAGCCCCAGGTCGGGCTGGAGATGTGCAACCAACCCTGCGGGCTGCTGCCCAGCAAACCCCAGCCAGCCAGACCCGGGGCGAGGAAGAGGAGGAGGAGGAAGAGGGTCGCAGAGCTGGGCTGCACCCCAATGCAGGGCGGCTGCGCCCCCGCTCCCCCCAGTTCAGCAGGCAGGGGCTGGGCGCACCTGGGAGGGGACGAGGAGAAGCTCTCCAGGGAAGAAGCAGGGAGGGAAAGGGAGAAGGGGGCAATAACGAAGCTACGGCCCCGGATACCCACCCCTGCCCCGGGGTCTGGGGGGGGGGGGAGCAGGGTGGGGGGAGAGGGCTGGGGCTCGCCCCTGGCCGTGCATCCCGCCGGCCGCGCGGCGCCGGTGAGCCCCGGTACCTCGCCGCTTCCCAGTCCCTCTCCGTTGCAAATGTACAGGTAGATCGGTTTGGACTGAGTCCGCGGGGGGGGTCGGGGGGGGCCGCAGGGCCGTTACTGCGACGCCTGCGACGTGGGGTTCTCTGACTTGCTCTCCTGGCTGGAGGGCGGTTTGCTGTTCCAGGGGCTGTTGGCCCCCAGCGCGGGCGAGTTGTTGAAGCTGTCCTCGTCGTCGATGCCGTTGGCGGCGTCGAACTGCGTGTTCTCCAGCCGGGTGATGAGCCGCTCGTCCTCGTCCCCAAACTCCCCCCCCATCAGCGTGGGCTCGCCTACCACCATCACATCCTGAAAGGGGAGACGGTCCCGAAACATAATCGAGGTGGGGGGAGCCCTGGCCGCCGCACCGCCCCCGACGCCGCAGCCCCTTCCCCATCGCCAGCCCCAAGGTTTGGGCACCGCCTGGGTGGTGCTCAGGGGCTGCAGCCCCCCCGGCCCTGGGCTGGGTCTCGCTCTCTGCAGGGGCTGAGACCAAAGGGGGGGGTCCTGGAGACTGCCCCCCTGCTTGTCCCCATCGCCAGGAGAGGGCTGGGGGGCTCGGACAGGCAGCCCTGGGGCTCTCCCCTCAGCCACTCCCCGAGGCTGGGAGCCCTCCCCTCCACCCCGGGGAAGGAAGAGAGAATGGAAACGGGATGCTTACAGGTACCTGACTGGACAGGGCAAAGGTGCTGGCCGGGCTCTTCTTCTTGCTGTTGCTGTTGTTGGTGTTTCCCCCGCCCGAGCTCATGGTGCTGCCCCCCGACATCTTCCTTTTCCGGCGCTTGCTGGGCTGCTGCCGCGCTGGCTCCGCTGGCCCGGGAGGGAGAGGCGGTCAGCCCCAAAGAGCAGCAGCTGGTGCACCCCCAACCCTTTTTCTACCACCCCCACCTCCTCCCGTCCGTGCCGGGAAGCCCGTCGGGCAGCGCAGACTCACCAGGCGGCGCGACCATCCGCTGCCACTTCTGGAACAGGCAGGTCTTGAGGCAGTCCCGGGGGCTGAGGCTGTAGGTCTTGTGCCGTGACATGAGCTCCTGCATTGGTTCTAGGATTACACAGAGCTGCGGGGAGCAGAGAGGCTTGGGGTTAGACACAATGCCCCTGGCACCGGCAAGGGGCCCTCTGGCACGCAGCCGTCTCCGCGTTGCGCCCACCTGAGCCGCGCGTGGGGCTCACAGGCTCTGGCAGATTTGCTGCCCCACTGCTCTGAACCCCTCTTTCCAGATCCCCTGCGCACTTACTCGGAGGTAGTTGAGTGTGGAGTTTGAGAGCCCACAGCGGGTGATGTTCTTGGATAACTGGTCCAGCATCTGGGGGTCCTGCGCCTAGGGGCAAGAGGGACAGGGCTCAGCTGCGTCCAGGATGCGTCCTGGTGTCCCCCCCCCCCAGGCTCCAGATGGGGGGGACAGGAGGGGCCCCCTCGTGCACGGCAGGGAGAGAACAGGAGCAGAACTCACGTGCATGGCGAGGATGCTGCGGGGGATGAGCTCTCGATGCTGGCGGATGCTGAAATGCCACGTCTTTATCCTCATCATGTCATCGAACATGAACTCCAGGTAGAGCCGCCCTTCCACGCACACCTGGCCAGGGCAAAAGGGTCAGGCACACGCTGCCAGCACATGCTGCCACCCCGTTCCCCCAGCCCACACCCCCGGGAACCCACTGCACACCAGGACACCCTCCCTGTGCTTGGTACAAGCCAAACCCACGAGGCTGCACAACCGGGGGGGTCCTGTGCAAAAAGGGGATGCTATGGGGCACCCCGTGCCATAATCACAGCCTGGTGCTCGTGGGCACAGCCCCGTGTGCTGGGTGCTGCCGGTACCTGGGTGAACATGGGCTTGCCGTGCTGGGTCACCATGGTGCACTGGTCGCAGTCCAGCGAGACGAAATTGTTGTGGAAGGACTCCTTGGGGTGCTTGAGCACGTAGTAGAGCTCCGTGGCCCCTCCTTCAAAGATGCTGCGGAAGTAACGGGGAATCAGAGTCCGGCCGATCGCTGGAGTGGGAAAAGGAGGAAGATGAAGTCAGTCAACCCGGCTCCTGAGGGTGTGCTCGCCCATTTCTCCCCGCGCGGCACCGCGGCGAGCCGCAGCCACGGCCCTGCTGCTACTCACTGTATCTCTTTGGTCCATCCTCCAAGCAGAAAGTGATTGTTAGCATGGCGTCATCCTCGAAGAACTCCGTGGTGAAGGCGTCCCACCACAGATTGTCACATTCCTGGGGGTGCCAGAGAGACGCCAGGTCACCGACAGCCCCGTGGGGGGCTGCAGGGAAGGGGCTGTCCCCATCCTGCCGGAGGGACCCTGTCCCCAACACACCCAGCTGGGAGCATCCCCCCGCCCCCGGCCACCCTCCCCTTGAGCTCCCCACCTCTGTCCAGTTCTGCAGCCTCTTGTTGAGCTCGAATATCCTGTAGTCGGTCTGGTTGCCGTACGGCGTGTGCCTCCTGCCAGGGAGCAGAGCGAGAGCGCTCAGAGCGGGAGGGAACCCCCGTGGGGGACACAGGGATGGGGACACACAGACACCCCCCCATTTAGGGCTGGGCAGAGCCCCAGCACCCCCCTTAAGTCCCCACGGGCCAGCAGCATGCCCACCCTGCAGGGCACCCCCATCCTTGCCATGCACGGGGCAGGCTCCCCGCTGCCCCCTGGTCCCCCCCATGCTTACCCGATGCCAGGCTCCAGGTACGTAGGTGGGTACATGGGAGTAGGGCTGGGGGGAGAAGCAACACAGCGGGGTCAGCAATGGGGACACCTCCACCCTTGCCCTCCCTTCCCTGCCACCAGCATCGAGCAGTCAGGATGCTGACAGGGGGACTCGCTCCCCAAAATTGGGCTCTGCTCCCCAGTCCCAGGGACCTGTCCCACAGCTCCTGGGAGCTGCGCCCTGCTCCTCTGCAGCCAGGCAGGATTGGGGTTGGCAAATAGGACATTTTGGCAGGGGCTGGGGCTGCTCCCTGTCTGGAGTCACCCCAGGAGTTTGGCCTGGCGAGGGACTTGGTCCTGCAGTGCTTGGGGACCCGGGACCCCCTTGATCCCAAAATTTACCATTTCTCCACCCAGTCCCTACTCTGGTCCCGTCTCTCCCCTCGCACTACCTGAACTCCACGTGCTGCAGCCTCACCACATTTCTGGCGAGCCAAAGGCTCACAGAACCCCAAACCCAGCAGACCCCTCCCCGAGCCCCGGCTCACCCCACATCTCGATCCAGCATGGTGCCCGGGTGGAAGGGGGGGAAGGCGTTGCCGTTCGGGGGCTCCTTTGGCGAGTACAGCTTGAACGACTTAGAGGAACAGCCTGCAGAGAGAGCAAAGGCACGGGGTCAGCCGGCTGCACCCCGGCACCGACCGCGGGCAGCCTGTGAGAAGGGTCACCCTGCTTCATCCCCATGGTGAGGAGGAGGAGGAGGAGGAAGAGGCCAGACCCAGTGGTGCCCAGGGCTCACCGGGTGCCCAGAGCTCACCGGTTCTCAGCCCAGGGACGGGTGCAGCCGGGGCGCTGGGGAGCACTCCAGGCCCTTTCCACCCCCCCAGCCCTTCCAGGCTGCTCCTAATCCCGCTGCCCCGACCCGGGGAATGGCAGGGGATCGCTTTGCTGACCTTTCCATCGCCATGGAGACGGGTGAATAATCGCCCGGACGGCGGGTCCCCAGGCAGCCACCATCTGCCACTCGGGCAGCCCGGCGCTCGCCGTGCTCGAGATGGAAGCAGCCGCCACCAACCATCCCCACCGCCCCCCGGCACCCCGCGCTGACACCCAGGGGAGTCAGGGACCGCCCGCACCCCGTGTCCCTACTCCCCAGGGGACCCCAGGGTGGGCTCCCACGCTCCCCGGTCCCCCACCCGGCGGCTTCCCGGGAGCGCCGCGGCACGCCCCGCTGCCGGCAGGACCCGGCACGCCGAGCCGGGCGCCGCCGAGACACGTGCGGCGGGGCTGAGCCGCTCCCTGCGGCCAGGCGAGGGTTTGGGCTCGGGTTCGGGCTCGGGCTCGGCGCCGGCGGGCAGCCAGGCAGCCGGGCTGGCCCGGACGGGCACGGTGCCAGGGAGCGCCGGTTTCACCGGCTGGGCCGGCCCCGCCGCCACGGGGACATCCCCGGTGGTGCCGCGGCACCGGCCGGCTTGCAGGGAACGTCTCCGTCCTCGGCAGGCACAAAAAGAGGAGCAGAAAGCCCTAAGGAAATTGGGGCACAGCCCCTTGCTCCCACCTACATCGATTTAAAAAAAAAATATTGTCAAGGAGGTCGGTGCTGGCGCTAGGGAATTTCTGCTTTCTGCGCCAATCGCGCTCAAGTTGTGCCCCACGGAAATTCAAATTCCACCGAAGCCGTGCTGGAAATTCAGCATTTTCCTCGCCGCCTTGCTGCTGCTACATGGCATTAAGCTGAAGCGTGCTTGATGCACGGGAAACTTTCCAAAGGCGAGTGTCTTCTGTCTGAAAGGAGCCGATCCATCAGGCGCAGAAAGCAGCAGCGAGGCTGAACCCTGCGTGCTGCCGGGCACCACGTCCTCGAGCAAAAAAAGAGAACCAGCGGCTCTCGCCCTCTGATGTTTTGTTTTTATTCATCGATGAGAGAAGGGAGGAAAAGCCCCCGCGGGTTTCTGCTTTGTGAGTTTCTCTGTCCTCGGCCATGCGTGGATCAGGGCTGAGCCGCAGAGCGCGAACACCCTCGGTGGGCACGGGACGGTGTGCCAGGGTGGTGATGGGGGGAGATCCCTCCCTGCCCGCTCTGCTCCTGCTGCCTTGCTGACAGCCAGGACGGAGCCCTGCTCCACCCCGAGCGGATTTAGCAGCGATAGGATCAGTTTTGGGGCCCTGCTAAGCACCCTGCCGCAGCAGCTAGGGGAGGGAGAGGAGCCGGTGACGTGATCCCAGCACCTCCAGCACCCTGAGCACGATTTTCAAAATACGCTGCTGTGTTAAGTGGTTTTAAGTAAGGTTAACAACAGACCTGAGATTTACTACGGGCTGCCCGGGTGCTAAATCCACCGCAGCTACTCACACACTACCAAGTGCACACGGGACAAGGCCACGACTTTGTGACAGCAGCACCAGCACTGATGTTCACCCAGGCACGGACGGAGCACACCGTGTGCTCAGTGCGATGCCACTGCTATCCATGCTGCCCCTTCCCCATGGGCACGGGGTCCCGGACCCTTCCCCACCCTCGTTCTCCCCCCAGCAAGAGGCTTGGCGCCGCGAGAAACGCGCACGTGGTCGGCGAGGAAAATCCGGCTGAGGCTGCAGCGAGGGAGCTGCCGGCCCGGGCAGGTCCAAGGGGCGGCGCGGAGCAGGAGGAGGGGACCCCCGGGGGCAGCGGGCAGCCCACCCGCACGGCACGGGGCGATGGGAGCAGCGGGAGGAGCTGGGGAAGCGGCTCCGTGCGGCCGCGAGGGAGCCACGTCCCCGCCGGCGTGCCCAGCGCTCTGTCTGCCTTCTCCCCTGCTTCCCCTGCCTGTTGTGCTGAGCGCCCCTGAAGCTGGAAATGGGATGGAAAATCCCCAGGCAGCCCCCAGAGCTGGGGAGCGCGGTGTTTGCGGAGCCCAAAGCAGCGCCAGCACCTTGCTGTCACCCCTGCACCCCCGCAGGTGCCCTCTGGCCAAGAGGAGCCTTCCTTCCCCAGCTGGGGAGCGACTGCGCTTTGTGCACGAGAAGCAGAGCTCAGAAACGAGGCATTAACAAAAATGAAAGCACAAGGGAAGAAGCACGGCCCAGCGAGGCCGCAGCTCAAGCAGGGAGCATCCTGCTCCTCCCAGCAGCCGGTGGCACAGGGGCGAGCCTTCGCGCGAGGGCTGCCGCTGCTTCCCGGCATGCTCCCGGCCCGCTTCCTGGCTGCCTAACGAGGCTTTGCAGTGTAAATAGCCGCATTGTTTCGCAGGCGCTGCTTTGCCGGGCTGTGGGAGCCGTGATAGAGGCAGGAAATCCATCTGCCCAGCCCAGCCCTGCTGGCGAGGGCGCTCTCCGGAGCTGGGCGCAGGGCGGCAATTTGCACTCGGGTCAAGTGGTTCGCGTGGCTTCGTACCCTCAGGATTTCTGGTGCTGGGGGGCAGAAGCAAGGAGAAGCATCCAGAGAGGCCCAAACACACGGAGAGGTGCACGGTGTGCCCCGGCAGAGCTGCTCCTCCATCCCTCCTTCCTCTTGTTCGGAGGGCACGGAGAGGGCAGCGCGAACCAAAGGCACCACCCCACACCCCCTGCTGCAGCTTGGAGTAAAAACCAGCACACAGCAGGGCAGAACCCACAGCACTGCCTGTCCTGACGATTACACTCTCACTTTTCTTGAGCCACGCAGCACCTGTGCCCACATCCGAGCAGCCTCCGAGCTCACCCTGACCATTAGCTGTCCCCTTGCTGGCACCGTGCGGCACCCGGCGATTTGTTGCAGCACACCTGGGGACTCCCAAAAGTGCTTTGGTTCGCTGCTGCCGAGATGCCCGAGGAGCTGTATGGCTGAAAACTGAGCACGTCGGGTTTCCCAATCCCTGTTTAGAGTCAGCCTCCTCCTGGGGACACGCGGGGGACACGCCAGGCGGCACCCCAGCGCATCAGCACCAGAGCACGCCGGAGCAGGGAAATCCCAGGCGCTCCTTCCTAGTGACCGAGTTGGAAACTCAGGGGGACAGCGGGCGGCCAGAAGAGCAATAATTAACTGCAGCCTGACGGATCTGGACGGCGGGAGATGAATTGGGAAGGGCTGATTAAAAAGCTGTCACAGCTGGAAAGCTCCCGTGCCCCAGTGCTTCCGCAGCGCTCCATCCCCCAGCCTCCGGCCGTGCGTCCCCGGAGCAGCTCGGACACGCCGGAGAGGTTTGGGCCAAGCCACAGCCCTCGGGATGTGGATTTGTGCCCTCGTCTCTGCTCTGCCTGACGCCAGGGTCTGGCGGGGCCGGGTGCTCAGCAGGGTGCTGGGCTCGCAGCCGGGGCTAGCAGGAGCCCCCTTCGTGGCCAGGCCCGCAGACGTGCGGAGGGAGATTCGAAGCGGGAGGCAGCGAGCCCTGCCAGCTGCACAACGGGCTGAAAATTGAATCCCTTCCAGCGCTGCAAGCCCCAGATGCAATCCCGCAGATAACCCACTTCTCAGCTCCACTGCCATCAATGTGGCACGAGCCAGGCATTTCCTGGGACGCTCAGGGACGCATCCCACTGTCCCCAATTGTTCCTCTCAGTCTTGCTGGCTCGGACCAGAGATCCCTCATCAAACATTGCTGGTTTCAGCCTCAGGAACGCACCTTTCGCATTTCCAGCCTCTCTCCCTTCCCTCCAAAGCCCTCCACCTCTGGGGCTCCTACAGCAAAGTGAGGGTGCCCGAAGTGAAGATGCTCAGGGCTGGGCTTTGGCTTCTCCCGCTGCCAGCACGCGGGCGGCACAGGGAAGTAAACAAACACCACGGTGCTGGAACCACAGGGCTGGAGAAAACCCTCATCAGCATCCCGTGGGGAAAAAGAGCGACCAATGCTCCTGACAAACTAGGATTTGCATTTTCAAAGGGTTTTAGACTGCGGCAGCAAGGAAAAATTGCACAAAGGTAGCCAGGCACGGTGGTGGTCCTCCAGGGCTCACAGACAGCTCCTGTGCCCCAGCTCATGGCAGAGAAAAAAGGCAGAGAAAAGCCCGTCCGACCCCGGCGGTGGTGCTGCTCCCGGGGCCGAGGGAGGCTGTCAGCCCCCACGTGGCGCATGGAGATTGGCAATCCCGGGATGCACCGCTCGCTGCCGGCCGTGGCGAGGAGCAACGAGCGCTGCACGCTGGGACGCGTAGTCCCCGGGGACGCAGCCCCGCCGCCCGCCGCCGCCGCCTCGCTCCATGTTGTTGTGTCCCAGCTGCAGCCCGGGGACGGGGACAGCAGCACCGTCACCCCCCAGTGGGACGCCCGCCCAGGGCAGGGAGGGCACAAGCAGCGCTGCACAGAGCGCGGGGGGGGCTTGCTGGCATCAGAACAGTTTGCGAAGTGCCACCTGCACCAGCTGAACGTCCTCTGTCCTGGGTTAAACCGAGCAGAAACAGCCCGTGCCAGACCTCAGAGCAAATGATTTCGGGTGCTGGACCTGCGTGGTGCTGCCCCGATGGCAGCACGTGCTGTACCTGGTGTCAGGGCTTTTGGCACAGTGCTCAGGATCCCTCCAGCCCGACACCAGGCTGCTCGCCATCCTCGCCGCCCTCATATGCACCTACAGGCACCCCCAGTCGGCTGGAGGCAGGGAAACCAGCCCCTGATGTACCCACAACGCAGCCCGGGGCTGATCCCAGTCAGGCTGGGATCTGCCAACAGCACCAGCACCCCCCTGCACATAGCACAGCAG